TTTTGTTGTACCTGTTGGTACATGTTAACTAACCAACCAATGGGAAATTCGAAGGGGAGATAGTTGTCCATCTTCTTTGTATGACAAATTTTGAAATCCGGTCTACGACATGTTCCACCTCGTCCGATCTGTATTTATAGTGCAAGAAGTCTAACCTGTGTTTATAGTACAAGAAATTCATTTACTTATTCTTCCTTTACGCAAGCAAAGGAGCCCAATGTTATTGTCCCATTACACTTCCTAATCTATTAGAAGACAAAACTACTTAACCTAACAAATCACAATCTTCCCATGTGCACCGCACCGCAACCCCTTCTTTGGGTGTCCTTTTGTTGGGGTGTATTGCAAATCTCACTTTATAAATTGTTATGACTCCTCTTGTTGTATGTTTTTGTTGTGTATTGAATGTGTTTGATATGTGGATTGTGTGGACAAACTCTAAAATGGGTAGTGATGATAAACTCTGAATTTAGATCATTGGTTTTGGTGATTGTTTGATTGATGTACTTTTAGATCCAATTCAACACTAGTTGAAGACAGGAACTAATAGAATGAACTGGGTCAATTCTACTTGACATGTATCAATAAAGTTGAATTCTTTAACCATCTTTTATGCCTTTACATTGTTTCCTTATGTCTGTTTTGGATTTGGCCTTGGCTAATTAGGTGGCTTGGAATATTTGGTGGTTCAACAAATGCCAAGGTAATTGTAGCTTCACTTACTACATTAGAATCCATGTATTTCCTTTTATTTTTCATGTTGCTTTCTCTTACTTTTGAACAATTTGTTGGAAAATTAGTTTTATAAGGCTTAGTTTGGGACATCTTTGAGCCCAAAATTGAGTGGGCCCCAAACGTCTTTTGGGGTGGGTCCGAAGAGGTGAAGTGTTCCTTGTCGCGTGGCAAGTCACACAGTGAAGACGGTTCGTCAAAACCATTTATGAGTGAATGGGAACATGACGTCATTTTCGGGTTCGTGGAATGGACATTTAAAGAATGAGATGTGGATTTCCTTGAAATGGGTTGTCCCACATTGAAACTTTAACAGAGCTTTTTTGTGTATATAAGCTCTAGACTACAACACTTGGGTTGGGCCCCAAGGGGCACCACAAGTTTGTAGAAGGGAGGAGTTATAGACATAGTGAACCTTAGCCCAAACCACCACACACGCGTACGCGCCGCCGCCATCGTTCGGGTGTGGGTTGTGGTTCGATTCTAACTTTAATTTTTTTGGACAAAATTCTTTTGAATTTATTTCAAAATTATTGCGGGAATTTAATTCCAAATTTGAATTTGAAATTCAAAAATTTTGTTCATAATATTGTGCCTCTTTCAGATAAATTCCACAATTATTAAACCAATCCAAACAGGTCTTATCGGTTGAACCCGAACAGGTTTAATTTCGGACATATTCAAAATTGAAAAACTGCCCAGACAGGTTGAGCAACTGCAGCAGTTATCTGTTCAGTTCCTGTTTGCACCTGTTCATTTGAATTCACATCTATTCATTCAAATTTTAGTACCTGTTCGGACAGCAGTTTTGCCTATAAATACCAACATTCTAGCAATGTTTAAGGCATCCGAAAATCAGTCTGAAAAGTTCCTTTGTGCTGTCCAACTTTTATCTTTGGTGCATTATTCTTCATATTAGTTTTTAGAATAAATTTCAGAGAGTTAGAACACAGGTTTGGTGCGCCGAACAATTTGTTTTGGAGTGCTACTACAAATTGGTTAAGATCATTATATCCTGAGAGATAGACGCCACATAACCATAAGCACCGTAGCGGGGCGAATCTGTGTAACGCCCTCAAAATAAACCCATTATATATCATTGACATGCATTATTTAATGAAAACATTTTATTAATTCATTCATCAGAGTATTACTAAATAAAAGCATTACATGTAACATCGAATTAAATGCCCTACAGGCTTACATCTTTCCAAGCCAACATTGTATCTTGAGAGATAGACGCCACATAACCATAAGCACCGTAGCGGGGCGAATCTGTCTTAAGGACAGAGTGTCACACACTCGACTTGGTCTTTTATTTTTCTTTGGTTCAACAAAATAAATTATGTAAGTTTTATTTTATTTTGTTAGAATTAGTTTCAATTATTTTATTTACACAGAAGATTGTTCCAACACAATTAACTCAAGACTAATTGTTACAAATGTTGTACTGAGCCCAGATGTTCTGCTAAATAGTCATATTTCAACACTCAATATATATTGTAAGGATGCCCAATAATTAACTAATTATGGTATAAAAGCTTTTCCTTGTTCAATAGGATCTGATAAAAAATACGAACCAGAGCCTCAAGGTGTTGATTTATCTTGATGAGCTTGAGCTGATGTTGAGAGGCTTGCTTTGGTTGTTGACTAACATTGGACTTGAGAGAGGTTGGCATATGGCAATCTGCAAGGTGGATTGCCTGCCAACATATGTTTGAAATGTTACATCATACATGTATCATTCTAGAATATTATGCTTTTGATGACTGATGTGGTTAATCCATACTTATGAAGTTGGAAAATATATTACATATAAGATAGTTGTAAGACTCTATTGGGCACAACATATTTGAGAAATGAAAGGTGGCTAGAATGTGACTATTCAGATACTTGTGTGGCAAAATGAAAAAAATGCTAAGATGGTTGTGAAACAATGGGAGAATATTGACTATGATGGTTTGACCATGTGCAAGGAAGACCAATAACCAATAACTATATCCATATGGAAAAGTGACATTGTTCATATTGATGGTAATAAATGGCAAGGGAAGACAAGCCAAAACTAAACTAGTTTGAGATAGATGGAAAATAAATGGTGACATGTGGTTTAACTAAAGCTATGAACCTTGATCGAGTAGAATGGTGAAACATGAGGCACATACTTGACCCTAGCGACTAGAGGGCTCAAAATTTCTCTACCTTTGAATGTTAGCTTTGTTCTTCCTTTGAATGACAAAAAAAGAAGAAATTGAACTCTAGTTTGACAAATAATTCAATTGGAAGAAAGAATTGTACCTTACTACTGCTCTTATAGAACTCTTATAGAATTTTCTGCAAGGGTTTATTAAGTTAAATTCTACAATTTAATCAGTAATGGGTTCTGGAGATTGGTTTAAGAATATAATTAGCTTAAAGAAAGGGAAGGATGCAATTTATTCTTTACAATTTGTTGCTTTGTAACACAGAGAAGTTAATTTATATATGAACGTCATTGTGTCTTTTTTCACTCTTCAAGAAGCTCTGGATATTGTTCATATTAAGTCTACATCAAAAGGAATTTGGGTGCTCTTTTTTTATTTTTTATTTTATTTTTATTGATACCTTTACAATATTGGTTTGCCATATGTTCAAAAGAGTTGAAATTTATTGGCTATCTTTGGAAATTTGCATGTGAGGTGAATTCTTCTTACTGGTGCCTTCAATTTTATATTGGTTGGCAAATTATATCTTAAATTTGGTTTTTAAGCATATTGGAGAATTTATGCATTCAAAATTGGCCAAATTCCACCTCATAATTCACTTACTTTTACTCTCTTGCCTTGGTGGTTTCTTTTCTTTCTCTCTGAACTTGGTGTTTTCTCATGCTTTCAGTTGTCACCCAAATTTCAGTTATAAAGCTGATGTGGAGCATTTGTTTGTTTGTTTTGTTTTGTTTTTTTGGTGTTTTAATTGAGCAAGTGAAAAGTATAGCTGAAGCAACTTATTTTTAAATATTCCAATTGAAGTTTCTTTCCAATATTTAAGAAATAAGGCAAATACGAGTCGTCTCTGCACCTCCCATTTGAAAGTCAAGCTTTATTATATGTGTTTGTGTGTAAATATATCAAACCCTCAATTGATATAATGGAAGCAACAGTATTAATTAGGCTACTTTATTATATTCTTACATGCTGCATGATTATTGCAATAAAGTACGTAGCTATTTTAACATTGATTGTTATAATTTGAAATGTCAATTTTATTGAATATTTATTTTTGTGTGCGAAGAGCGTTTGTTCTGTGTATAGAAGACATTTATTTTTGTACAATCATCTGTTTTGGAAATCCGGTGTTTTTGTATGTAATATTTAATTTAGATGAATTATACTTGGTTGGTATGAATTTATATGATATTTGGAATAAGATGTTACAAGTTAATGTTTGGGATAGTTGATAATGAAATGAGTATTATTGATAATGGATTTAGATTATAATTGATAGATGTATTATTCTGTATATGTACAGGTTACATGTTGCATTGATAATGGAATGCATATAATTTAGAAATTAATGAAAAATATTCAATTTGTGCATTTTAAAAAAGATTAATAAATAGAGCCTTTAGCGACTAAACATTTAGTAGCCAAAAAATAAAAAGGAAACTTGTTGGCGACTAAACAGTTAGTACTCAAAAAAAAAAATGAAAGTTTTTGGCGACTTAAAAATTAGTAGCTAAAAAGGAGCACCATGATTTTAGCGACTAAAAAATTGGTAGCCAAACAGGAGTGCCACATTTTTAGGGACAAAATTAGTAGCCAAAAAGGAGTGTCACGTTTTTAGCGACTAAAAAATTGGTAGCTAAAAAAGTTAGATGAAAAATATTTTTTTTGGAGACTAAATATTTTCTTTTGGTCGACTAAAATTTTAGTTGCCAATAGGTGAGTTTCGGCGACTAAAAAAATTAGTCACCAATTCTTTTGCCGACAATTAGTTAACTACCAAACGGGCGATCAAGAATTTTAGTCGGCAAAAATCTTTGACGAACAAAAATTTAGTCACTAAAAGTATAATTTATTGTAGTGATATCATTATTATAGGTAAAATATATATATATATATATATATATAATAAAGCAGAACGGATTTTGAAAATATCCTAGAGACATTTGTCTTACTAAGACATTTGAATGGTGAAGATTCATTTGCCTATTTACATGAACGGCTGAGATTACCCATTAAATATGTGTCAATCCCCTTCCCGCCCAAACACTAAAGTAACTGCTCACCCACGTCTCATCTCCTTCTATCTTTATCTCTTCTCTTCTTTGTTCTCACCCATCCCTCTTTTATCTCTCTGCTCTCCAGCCCTGTTCTTCTTCTTCTTCTGCTCTCCAGGTCAGATCACTTTTCAATTGTTCTTGCAATTGTTCTTTATCTTTTTTGATATTTTCAGATGGAGAAACCTCTGGACCTTCACAACGAATTTGGATTTCGGTTCTGTAGATCAAGTTCGTGATCTTGAGACCCGATTGGGACCCTGGGTCGACTTCGCGATCGCAAGGTAAGTTCTCTGATTCTCCTCTTTATTTCAGTAAACAACTCGATACGCTACGGTACAGAAGAGTTTGATCGCAATCCAAATCAACTTTCACTTTCTTTTGGATCGCCATCTTCATTGATCTTCCATATATGAGATTTGATCAGCAAAAAGGTATCATATTCACATTTTGCTTGAATATTCTCCTCTTCATTTCAGTAAACAACTCGATACGCTACGGTACAGAAGAGTTTGATCGCAATCCGAATCAACTTTCACTTTCTTCGATTGGGACCCAACAAATTCCATAATTGCTCCAATCTTGAAGCGATTTTGCTCGCTGGGTCGACTTCGCGATCGCAAGGTAAGTTCTCTGATTCTCCTCTTCATTTCAGTAAACTGAACTGATTAAATTTTCTTTTATCTCTCTGCTCTTCAGGCGTCTTCTTCTTCTGTATTTTCTGATCGCAAGGTAAAATTCTCTTTTTGGGGTTTTCTGAACCAAGCTTTGATGGGTCAGAGGATTCGAAATGGAGGTTTCTCTGGGCTGATTCATATGGATTTGGAGGTCTGAATCTGGGTTTATAATGGGTTCTGGAGATTGGTTTAAGAATATAATTAGCTTAAAGAAAGGGAAGGATGCAATTTATTCTTTACAATCTGTTGCTTTGTAACTCAGAGAAGTAAATTTATATATGAACGTCATTGTGTCTTTTTTCACTCTTCAAGAAGCTCTGGATATTGTTCATATTAAGTCTACATCAAAAGGAATTTGGGTGCTCTTTTTTTATTTTTTATTTTATTTTTATTGATACCTTTACAATATCGGTTTGCCATATGTTCAAAAGAGTTGAAATTTATTGGCTATCTTTGGAAATTTGCATGTGAGGTGAATTCTTCTTACTGGTGCCTTCAATTTTATATTGGTTGGCAAATTATATCTTAAATTTGGTTTTTAAGCATATTGGAGAATTTATGCATTCAAAATTGGCCAAATTCCACCTCATAATTCACTTACTTTTACTCTCTTGCCTTGGTGGTTTCTTTTCTTTCTCTCTGAACTTGGTGTTTTCTCATGCTTTCACTTGTCACCCAAATTTCAGTTATAAAGCTGATGTGGAGCATTTGTTTGTTTGTTTTGTTTTGTTTTTTTGGTGTTTTAATTGAGCAAGTGGAAAGTATAGCTGAAGCAACTTATTTTTAAATATTCCAATTGAAGTTTCTTTCCAATATTTAAGAAATAAGGCAAATACGAGTCGTCTCTGCACCTCCCATTTGAAAGTCAAGCTTTATTATATGTGTTTGTGTGTAAATATATCAAACCCTCAATTGATATAATGGAAGCAACAGTATTAATTAGGCTACTTTATTATATTCTTACATGCTGCATGATTATTGCAATGAAGTACGTAGCTATTTTAACATTGATTGTTATAATTTGAAATGTCAATTTTATTGAATATTTATTTTTGTGTGCGAAGAGCGTTTGTTCTGTATATAGAAGACATTTATTTTTGTACAATCATCTGTTTTGGAAATCCGGTATTTTTGTATGTAATATTTAATTTAGATAAATTATACTTGGTTGGTATGAATTTATATGATATTTGGAATAAGATGTTACAAGTTAATGTTTTGGATAGTTGATAATGAAATGAGTATTATTGATAATGGATTTAGATTATAATTGATAGATGTATTATTTTGTATATGTACAGGTTACATGTTGCATTGATAATGGAATGCATATAATTTAGAAATTAATGAAAAATATTCAATTTGTGCATTTTAAAAAAGATTAATAAATAGAGCCTTTAGCGACTAAACATTTAGTAGCCAAAAAATAAAAAGGAAACTTGTTGGCGACTAAACAGTTAGTACTCAAAAAAAAAAATGAAAGTTTTTGGCGACTAAAAAATTAGTAGCTAAAAAGGAGCACCATGATTTTAGCTACTAAAAAATTGGTAGCCAAACAGGAGTGCCACATTTTTAGGGACAAAATTAGTAGCCAAAAAGGAGTCACGTTTTTAGCGACTAAAAAATTGGTAGCTAAAAAAATTAGATGAAAAATATTTTTTTTGGAGACTAAAATATTTTCTTTTGGTCGACTAAAATTTTAGTTGCCAATAGGTGAGTTTCGGCGACTAAAAAAAATTAGTCACCAATTCTTTTGCTGACAATTAGTTAACGACCAAACGGGTGATCAAGAATTTTAGTCGGCAAAAATCTTTGACGAACAAAAATTTAGTCGCTAAAAGTATAATTTATTGTAGCGATATCATTATTATAGGTAAAATATATATATATATATATATATATGAATAAATAAGGAAGTAACCATTCCCATATATAATTGACCTTTTATTTGGATTTGTTGGCTTGTTCTTCTGGTGGTGGTGAGTCGTGACATCACTTTTAACTTTTTTAATGAATGCAATATACAAAATATTTGAAAAAATAAATTGTTGAAATTATTAAAACAAAATCCGTAATAAGTTTACAGACTTGAATAATACCCTCCAATTTAGATTTTAGATCCTATTTCATGTATAATTAAGGAGGAATTACATACAAGTAGGAGAATAAGAAAAAAAATTGCAAACATATGAGGTGTAAATGTATCTATAATAAGATGTAAATAAAAGCTATGAAGTGTAATTGTTTTTGGTTCTCCCACCACACGTAATTCCCCCATAATTAGAGCAAGGATCCTCTAGAGTTTTTTTTTACTAAAGTTTCCTAGAGTGGTGTGTTATATGGTTGAGATTTAATGACAAGTCACATCAATTTTTTAGCATTAAATCTCACCCATACAACACATCACTTTAAAAAATTTTAGGAAAAAAAAACTCTAGAGGATCCTTGGTGCCATAATTAACCTTTAATTTGGGTTAGACGGTCTTCTTCTGATAATGGTCACATATAAAAATTTCACTTTCCATTATTGTGTGGAAGAGACGGGTATAAAAAAAAAAGTATGTCATAATTGACCTTTAATTTGCATTTGCAGGCCTTCTCATGTATAATTGACCTTTAATTCGCATTTGTCGGCCTTCTTCTAGTACTTGTTAAAAATAAAAATAAAAAGGGGGACAAAATATGATAGCACCATTGATACCCCATTTTGTTGTCCTCATTTGTTAAGTTTTACAATACACTTCTAAAAAAAAGTGTATCATAAGTAATTTATGAGATTTTGTGACAGTGCTCAGGCTTTTTTTTCAGTTTAAAATCAGATTATAACATGTTGTTAGGTTTTGTTGCTCATTATGAAATTCATATCGATAGTCTAAATCATTCAACGTGTAAATCTCGTTGAGTACTTTATTTCTAGAAAAAATTATATTTATCGGATATCGATAATCACTTAATCATATTAAATTTGTACCAACAATAACTATGATTTTAAAAATAAATTATTGGCACAAATGTGATCTAGTCAAGTAGTTATTGATATCTAATCAATATGATTTTTTACAAGGATGATGTACTCAACGAGCCCTACGCATTCAACGGTTCAAATAATCGATGTAGGTTTCGTAGTGGGCCTACAGAGGCCCAAAAGCTCCAGTTGAAAAATTCACTTGAAAGAAGTTGTTCCCTTTGTGATATTTATACTATTGTGTATCATAAACAAATCATCAAAGCAACCACAATAATTCATAAATATCACTTGAAACATAATATAAAACCTCTTCAATCATAAAAATAATTACAGTAGATCACAATTAAATCATAACTAACACATAATAGATTATAACAAAAAATTGTAGTAAGAACATAGATACACCCTTTTTTTTAAGACTGTATTGTAAAATTTTCTACATTTAAATATATATATATATATATAAAGTTGGACGTCATTGTTCGGGTTCATGAGGTAAATCACGAGTTTCGTTTCAATCAGCTAAGCTGTTTATTTTTTAGGTCACCTTGTTTAGATCTTTCACAACAAAAATCAAGTCGATCCAATATTGGAAACACATAGTTTTATCACATTTATTTTTAAAAAAATGAATGATAACAATGATTTGGAAAATAAATAGATCATACATTGTCTCGGAGACAAATATGATAAAACTATATAGTTACGAATATCATATCGACTTGGGGTTGTTTTGAGAACTAGCTCTTTTAGTTTACTTTTTAATTTTTTTATAAAAAGGCATGTAAAAAAATAAAAATAATAGTTGGCTTTTTAGTAGTAGTTTTTGGACTTTTTAACCATTTTAACTAATTCCTAAACTTGTCTTTAATTTTTTTTTTTATGGATGATTTACACAAAATGTCCTAAAACATAAACGGTTTAGATAATAAAACTAGAACCCATGATAAGCTCCACATGTAGTCCAACCCCACTCCTATAAATAAATAACACGATAACACAATGCTCCCGTGAGTGAGCCTACAATACGAGAGTTATGCTGGGCCGCGGAGTAGCCAATGTATAATGAGAAGAGTAATACTAGGGATATTAAAATTTCTATCAAATGTTTTACTAAATGTCTCACATGGAATGCGTCCCAGATAAGTGTGGGGCCTCACATATTTGGTAAAAAATTTGATAGAAATTTTAGGGCCTCTAACATTTTTCTAATGAGAATGACTCATTTCTATACCACTATCTATTATATCACTTTACATTCTATTTTATGGGTCTTATCTCAGGTTCATAACAATGATTTAAACCATTTATTTCATAAGTCCAACAATAAAGATTAAATGTACAAAAAAAAAATTAATTTTCATCAAATGTCACTAGACATATGCATAAATTAATCTTATTTTTGAAATAGACGACAACTATAATCATCTGTCCTATAAAACAAAATGTGATTTGTTTATTTATTTATCAATATGTGTTGAAATTAATGTTTTATATAAATAATTTTTACTATGAAATAAACCGTTCATATTATTATTATGGGTAAAAAAAATGAATAAATAAGGAAGTATCCATTCCAAAATATAATTGACCTTTAATTTAAATGTCGTTTAGCAATGACTTTTTTAGTTGATTTTTTAAACTTTTTTAGTCTAAGACTTTTTTGTTTGGTTGGTTTTCTTGTTTGGCTTTTTAGGCCTCGTTTGGGAAGCCGCTGGTTTAGCAAAAAAGTCAAAAAGTTATTAAAAAAACCAAAAAATCAACAACCTATACCAAAAAGTCAAAGATTCTCTTTTCTCTCTACTTTTTGTACATCTTTTCGTAAAAAGCTAAAAATTTATCCCAAGCATACTAGTTTTTTTTAGCTCATATTTTAACCAAATAGTCAAAAAGTTAACTTGTTCCCAAGCGAGGCTTTAGTTTTGGAATGACTAACTTTTTTTTTTGTCCTTTTGTAATTTTTTTGACTTTTTTTTTGTCTTTTTGTAATTTTTTTAGCCCAACATAAAAACCAAATCGGGGCTTAGAGATGATTTGGAATGATCTAAATAAGTGTACTTTACTTTTTATGAAATATGGGTTGGGTATGGGTTGGGTTTGAAGTACTGTGTTAGAGAGGTGATGTGACTTAAATAAGATGATGTGACTTAAATAAAATAATAACTTTTTAACTTTTTAACTTTTTGACTTTTTTAG